AAGATTCTTCGAGTCGAAGTTTCTTTCGGGAAAAAAACCCACCAGTGGCTAGGTGGTTTTCGTACCTTGAACACGATGAGTTCGTTCGTGAGTTCGCACCTCGCACAGACGGGCTAGCCACGTGGAGTTTTCCGGGTTTTCTCCACGTCTGTAACACCTCCCAGAAGGCATTCCCCTAGGCAGATCGCCCATGTGTTGCGTTGCCATAACTTAACAAACAAACAAACTCTTTCCGTAAGGAAGAAGAAATTGATCTAAAGTTGATTGTCTTACGCTTTTAAGCAAAATCTTTCTCAAATGCGATAGCGCGTTGTCGTTTTCTATTGCCACTATGACTTTTTTCTTTCTTAGATGTCATATAGATTAAATATATAAATCACAAAACTGAAAAAAGAAGTACAGCACAAACACTCGGAAAAGCAATGCTTAATTCGCGCATGCTTAACACCAACTAAAATTTGACACAAAACACCGTTACGTTCGTTATCCGAATTTTGTTCGTTATCAGAGACAAAACTTTTGCAAAATAAAAGTTCGTTAACCGATTTGGTCGTTAACCAGGACGTTCGTTAACCGGGGTTCCACTGTAAAAACTTCGGCCACAAGCTCTCTAATAACTAAATTTTATTATATATAATACAGTATTATATTATATACAATATTACATTGTATATGTAAGCATTTTTAGCTATAAAGCAAAACAAGGCTCTATTTTTCGGGTCGGAAACGGATTAATCCATTTTATATTGTTTCTTACGGAAAAATTTGTTTCGGTTTTACAACAATCTTTAAGAACGAATTAAGTTCGAAAACTGAGGTTTGTCTGTATTATTTTAAACATTTCAAAATTTTGCATATACTTTAAATTTCGGTTAATTTTATATCGCGAAAATTTCAATGTAAAATTACTGAAAATTTGTCTTAATCTTTCATTATTCGATAGATCATTAGTGATATTTTTAATTGGCAAATATAAAATACCGATATTTAGATGAAAATCATATATTAATTAAAAATCTTAGGATTTGTTTTTAAGGGTTATTTAATAAACAGTATAAAATAATTTATATATCAGTAATAACTTACTAACAAGGTCTGTTGCAAAGAGTGAAACAGTCTAAATCAAGAGGAGATTCTAGAAAAAAATATTTATTAAAATATCCTTTGTATTCTTACTAAAAATTTAAATTTTATTTTACTTACGTTCATTATTCACGCATAAATTGTAATCATGAGGATAGAAATACCCTCTCAAAATACATTTAATCTTTTCTTTTTGTAGCTTGGCATGGCATTCTGCTAAACAGCTCTAATATGCATATATATATAACAAACGTTTTTCTCGTTAATTATATTTCATTTAATATGAATTTACAAAAATTATTCTTGAATTAAAAGTAAAATATAACAGAATTAGGGGAGACCGGGGCAACTTCGGCATGCGGGGCAAGTTTGTCAAGCGCTTTTTTTAAAAAACAAATTAAAAGGAGACTTTGGTTATAGGTTAGGCAGTTGAATTTTATTGGTGGCTTGTTGAGTGTAGTGTTTTTATTGTTCTCCAACAAGCGTAGTTGAATTATCAAGCAAATTTTCATTTTCGTTCAATTCCATATAATATTTTGCTTCCATTTATATTGAAATGGCAAATTTTGTTATAATTCCATGATAACGAAAGTTACTTTTCCTGTTAGAAGGATGTAACTTCAACTTATTCACGTGGCCAGATCGTGGCTTGGCATTCTGTTCTCAGGGTTGTACTTAATGTTTCGAAATCATGACTAGCGGGGTAAGATCGGCAACATAAAGCCACATTAGAAGCAAAGGATAAAAATCAAACAGATGATAAATGAAAACATGTTTGCATTTGTTATTCATGTATATATGTCTTTGAACTTGCATTTCGTTGTAATAATATTAAATGGGTGTTGGATTTGTATTTCTTTGTTTTAATAGTGAATTCCAACTTATACATTGTTAATAACATAATTTTATATACGTGCCTATCTTGCCCCATTACTGTTGCCCCTATACCAGGGGCAACTTTAATAAAAATAATTAAAATAATTACAACTTTACAAAAAGAGAGAAGTTGCCGATCTTGCCCCTATACCCGGGGCAACTTCGTCAATTTCTCTCTTCTTGTAAAGTTGTAATTATTTTAATTATTTTTATTTCCAAACTGATTTTAACCAGTTCTATAGTAAGGTAACATTCCAATAGACAATATGCAAAGCTTTTTTTTAAGTTTACTGCAGTATTTATTACACAAAATTTAAGTAAAGCTTAACATGCCGATCTTGCCCCGGCTTCCCTATTATTATTATGAGTATAATTCAATTAAACACTTTTACCTAATTTTAATAAAGTAATACTCTATGTAATTAGGTGATAGAACAACTGACAGATAAATTAAATATAGCATACGAGGAAGTGCAATGAGATAGAACATATGAGGAATTGGATCAGTCTATAACTTGAATATATTAGTGTTGTTTATTATTTATTATCCACTTAATTTTAAATTAATATATTTTTTTACTTTAATAAAAAATCTTGTCGTCATGTGGACTTGGCCGAACCCACGATGGGTATGAAAAAGATTACATAAGTGCCACAAAGCGAAAAATTGAAAATAAATAAACAAGAGTTAATCTATGGCCGGCCTTCCTTTAAAGAAATGTTACAAAGCAATATGCATGCATATATCAGGCATCTTCCTGCACATACCAGTATCTCTGTTCATACAATGTATTAATTATACTGTATAGCAGGTGTGGCCAAACTTTTATCCCTTAGGGGCTACTTTTTTGGTAAAATATAGTCTGCGGGCGACTATGAATATGGGCAAACAATTTCAGGATTTTTATATGCGCATACGCTAACATTCATTTGCATTGTTCATCGGGATAAATGCAAACAGTATGGGTACGTTGCACAGACAGTCTATTATTGTAAGAATAAATTATCGAATTAAGATTTTTAAACATTAATTTAAGTGAAAGCAAATTGTTCAACTTTAGCTTCGCGGGCTACTTTTAAAACCTTTGCAGTCGACCGGTCGACCGCAGTCTACGTGTTGGCCATCCCTGCTGTATACCGTTCCTTTCTCAACACTATATCTGGAGCGTTAGTGTATATTAATTTGATATAATAGTTAATAATTTATAAATCATAGCAATGCACATTCATTTTTATACTTACGTTTATTATATATAAATACATTACCTCCATACTTAGAGGACCATTGTAGTTGTTCTTTTCCCATTGACTTACGTAATCGAAACAATTTGTTGAATAAGGAGACTCCAATAAATACTTTTTTACCTGTTAAAATTATTTACGATATGAAAAATAACATCTTGCACGAGGTATTATTGTTCTAAATAGCAAATAATAAAACATATTTACCAAGGAAGATTACTACAGAGTGTCCGGAAAGTCACGTTACCCCGTTTTCACTTTCCCGACTGTTATCTCCATAACACGGGAAATTTGTAATCCGTGTGTGTGTGTGTGTGTGTGTGTGTGTGTGTGTGTGTCGTTTAATAATACAGGATGGAATAAAGATTAAGAAAGAAAATTTGGCGTGATAAACTTGTATATAAGAGGCATTGATGCTATTAAATTTTAGTGCTTAATTATCGAAGGACTGGAAGATACAAAGAGGGAGACGTGTCGTATCTCGAGTGTGGTTAGACTTAACGAAAATTTTACTCGTTATTGGCATTTCCAATTTTTATAAAACTTATCTCTACCCTCAAACTTAAGCCTTTTGCCTTTTTATAATAATTAATAAAAGCTGGTAACAGAATGACGCCAGCACACAATTTTATCTTATACTAGTGTGTCTTTGTTGAACAAGGAGACACTAGCACGAATGCGGTTAGTTGAGGCGAAGCATTAGCGAAGAGCGTTCGATCTCAAAATTGATCGATTGATTTTGATAAATTCTTGCCATTTCCCATTTATTGCGATGAGGAATCAAAAAATGTTATAAAAATGGGGATCCTTGACTTCATTTTCGATGTATAGCGGATTCAAAGTGACTATGTCCATATTCTCTGGCGCGATTAAGTGCGTCTAACAGAATCTAGAGGAGAAAAATTAAAAAACAGCATTATAAAAGAACAAAGCAATCGATGGCAATTGTTTTGTTCTTGGATCGGCTCTCCGTGCCGGCAGTTTCAAGCAGAGTGATGGCAAGGCAGGAGCAGAGAGATACGTGCCCAGAACGCCATGATGACACGACGCCAAAATTCCAAAATCGTTACATGGGCGAACTAATAAATTCTCAGAAAATTTTCACACACGAGTACGAAAAATTACATTATGAAATGTAATATGCCCTATATTTAATAAAAAGAAGTCTTATAATTTTTAAATTTCTAACAGACTTCTGAAAGGCTTATCCAAAGGGCGCCATATTTACATTTACCCCAGATGACAATGCTTTGCCCTCATATATAAGTACAAGGACAGCCTCTTATGAAAAGACAAGTGCAAAGTTCTGTCCGCAACCGTCAGGTACAAGGTTTGTTACATTGTTTCTGGCTCTGCTTCAATTCTATCGCGATAAATAGGATATCGCGACGACAAAGTTGCGCGATGTCCTAGTTAGTGTTTAATAAACATATTTTTCTCTGGGAAAGTTATGCAACTCATTGCTGTATTTTTTTCTTGTTTTTATAAAGAAGATATAGAGACATATTAAATATCAAAACACACTTTATACTGCTGTTGTGGACAAGCATAAGGTAGGTTCTGCCATATCCTATAATGTCTCGATATCTCCATTACAAGAAGAAAAACAGCAGGTGAGTGATGTGACTTTCCAGACACGATATACACTGAATTATAAAACTGACAATATTTATAAGATCATTTATTAATATTTCTGCTTATTTTCATACTTACAGGTCTAATCATAACCATATAAATATTCCCGGGAAACATATTTTTTCCAAAGATACTAGGATCTTCAATACTAAACGGTGAGTGTATTGCGAAATTTCCTTCTACTTGTAAGTGTGGAAAAAAATATTCTTGCGGCATAAAATCTATCAAGAATGAAGCAGTTGGCATCGGAGCTGAAAAACCATTTTCAAAATTTAAATTTAATCATTTTATTGATTATATTAATTCAATTGATTCAAAATATTAATCTTAATATTTTGAATCGAACTCTTTATTATGAATATTTATTAATGTTAATATCAAAACACACTCACAAGCTCTAGTTGATATAAGAGGATCGTTCCAAGAGGTTCGATTAAATCGAAGGTTAAAAACATAACAGGTGCCTTCCGAACTAGGAAACTTGTTGTTCATTAAAAAATAATCGGCCCTGAAAAATATTACTTAATGCTTTAAAAATACAGAGTTTTCCAAAAACAATTTTACCGTTTTAAATTATTATAATTGTGTTAAATATTATCTGAAAACGTTATAATGTACATTAAAACATTGGAAAACCATTCAAGTTTCACATTTACCCATTATAATCTCTCAATTTGTTCACCCCGTGTGATATGGCACACATCTAACTGATAATCGAATTTTTCCTACATTTGCTACAGCATACCGTTGCCATTTCCCTCACAGCACTACAATTCTTCAGCACTGCACATTACCCAGCACAGTAATTCTGACTTTGCATACTGTAGGAAGAGGCTATGCCTTCTATGCTGTGGAGTCACCATACTCTTTTACGGCACTTCTTACAGATAATCGACAACAAGACAGATTTAGAAGTGTTTGAATCAAGACAGAGTTTGAATCAGATGGAAAATTAAACTTGAACAGCTTCTCTATCAATTGGAAGAAAAAACTAGTGAAACTTCACGTCTTTTTCTTCCAATATCCATATTAAATCAGAAACCAAGATTCAGAATTACAACATAAGAAAAAGCTTGTAATACTAAAAAAAACAATAAATTATAAATCATACTGTCAGTTGTTTATAAAAATTAATAATTTTATTACAGCGTTATCAAAAATTTGGAGAAGAACCACAATGTTACAAGATAAACTAAATGAACAACAGTTAATTGAGATATTTATACTAATTGAATATCCAAATAGATTATTTACAAAATGGATTAAAACTTAAAAAGAGAATACAAACAAAGTTAAATTTAAAAAACAGGGTGACCCTTTGTGAATTTTATAGCCTGAAGGGGGATTTAAAAAATTTAATCCGAATGCATTGCCGTTTATAAAGGAAAAAAATAAAATAGCTGTACTTTTTTAAAATTTTTGGTCTCTAACTTAATACAGATATTGGAAGAAAAAGACGTAAAGTTTCACTAGACTTATGTTTTATAACTGAATTTTAATTAAATTTTACGTCCGTCCATTAGAAATTTTTTTAAATTGGTTCATTTGGAAGATATTGTGTATGCTTACTTACACAAAGCGAAACAAAGACAAATTAGAAGCCTATTTCACTTCTACTGATTAGCCTAATAATTAGTTTAAAAGCGTGAGATCGAAAGATGTATCGTGGGGCCTAAGCTATGTTTTTGATTGTCGGCCCTAAAGTAAAGTACAGATTTATCATTTAGTTTCTGACACCTGGTGGTTCGGCACCTCTTTCAATCCTGACAAAAAGGCACTTAAAATTCCCGCGATAGACAGATTTGTTCACTGAATGACAACAGATAGCACTGCGTATAGAGCGCATTCATGGGTGATTCTTCAATTCTATGCGATTTTAGCTCATTTTATTTACATTTAGCTCTTACTGTGATTTCTAAAAGAGACTGAAGTATCAAAGGTCAATGTGTCAAATGTGTCAATGTGGTACAAATGTGTCAAATGTATCAAGCAGCAATCCATATTTAATATAAGCTTAATTTAAGTTTCTAGCAGTCTGTAATGTCTTAGAGATTTGAGGCTTATAACTAATGATCTAGTAAATACTTTCGAGTTGTTATGATATGACCTCGCTCGATCTGGCAAGTGTTTGAAATCAAGCGTGTTGGAGAATCGGTGTTCAACTGTATAAAACTCTAAAAGCTGTAAGAATAACAAAAGGCTGGAAGACCAGCAAATTTGAATAAAAATTCATAAAAAAATTATCAATTAGATAAATGTTTTTAACGAAAATAAGTACTTACGAACAGAATTTAGCCGAGAAATTTCCAAGGACCAACACAGACAAAGGAATCAATTCTTTTTCTTGTACAGCTGCTTCTCTGTATTCCGCAAGATAACGAGCAAACAATGGCTTTTCTGGAATCTTAAAATTAGAAATGTCGATAATTTCATTATTTAATTTGGGGTTTTTGATTACATGTTAACAGATAAAATAGCTAATGTTATAGTTAATTTCCTGAAAAACTGGAACAAGGATTATTATTACAGTATTATTGGCTTTGAAAATCTAGGGAGTCGAATAAATATCCAGGTAATCTCGGTGTTGTAAGTTTTTTTAGAATCTGGGCCTTATTTAGGCACAGGTGAATATGATGTAAGCTCAAGCACCTTAGATGTAGGGATTAAATAAAAATAATTTGACAAAAAGTAAAAGAATTGGATTGACGGAATAAGGTCGTAAAACGCATGGGCGATCTGCAAAGGTCTTTCTATGCAAAATTAGCCCCTACTTCGGTGTTAAACGAGATCCGTAGAACTCCACGTGGACAGCCAGATGCCAAGACTGTTACTAATGAAACAAGTCGAATCGATTTTCAGAGCATTCTTGACACATTACCATGCTGAGGTAAAGAAAATTTTTACCTTCAGAATAAAGTTTCTGTCTGTTTGATTATCATGTGGTTGGTAATCTTAAGATAGCATTGCGAAGACGAAGATTTCACAGCAACGATACGATGAAGAAGGCAATGCACTTGTGGCTTGGACAAGAATCAAAAATATTTTTGCTACCGGAATACCGAAACTTGTCGAAAGATGTAAAAAGTGCATTGCAAAGGATGACATCTTATGTGGTATGTATGTATGTCTCTTTAATCCGACATTAAGTTCGGTAGACTATCATTACAGCTTGTGTAAAGCTGTAATGATAGTCTACCGAACTTAATATCGGATTGAAGAGACATACATACATACATACATAGAACATAATAACAGCTATACAAAAGTGATATTTAGAATCTTATGTGGTCTTATTATGATATACCGTACATTTCAATAAAATGCGAAGATGCGATTTGCTCTTACTTATTAACCCATCCTCGTACAGCACTACAGGCCGCAGAGAGCGGAAACGCCAACTTCTCCTGAATTCGGAGAAGACTTAGAGGCCTGTAGTGATTCTAAATCCTACGAAATTAATGTTATTTTTACTAACAGAAAATTAAATAGCAATGTTTTTGGCGTCCTTTATAATGCATTAGTTTTTAGTCCACGGCGCATATATGTTTCAGAGATGTGAAGGACAAGTGCCAATGCATTGCTATGGCTCTGACGAGAAGCATTTCCTTCTTAACAGATCGTTCACGTGTTGTGTTGTCTTTATCTTATAATTTCAATCCAAGGAAAGAAGCAAACACGAACTATGTATTTAAAAATTCAGGTAATTTCTGTTTATAGTTAGTTATGTATCTTTTTTTCCTTGCTGAAATTGATAACATCGAAATATAAGTTTACAGTCGAACTAAACTTACCATCAAGTTTTCTAAAGATGAGAAATTCCCCAAATTTTCGCAGAAGTCTTGGAAAGTTTCGCAAAATTTGGTAATATCCTCAACTGGTTTACATTTGTGGGAATTTTCTTTACAGTATCGAGTTCGATGGATACTAAATTAAACGTAAAAATATTAATATATATATATAAACTTGACTAAATAATATATTACTCTATATGAAGTGTCGTTTGTATTATTAATTAATACTACATGTGCAGTACTATTATTAATATCAGATACCGTTAAGAATTTTTGTTTCAATGGTAGAATTCGAGAGATCTACATTTCACAGAAATTTTAAGGTTGGCTGGAGCCAATTCCTAACTACCCGGCCGCCTTACTGTAAGCCTTGGCTCAGTGACTCTTTATCCTATTGGCAATTGCCTGGGCCCCTTGTTAGTAAACTAATTTTTCTATAAAAATCTTTTCCCAAAACATTTCTCCTAAAAAAACTGTATGAGTTCAACGCTTTACATGGCCCCCGAATTCAAATTCGCCTGGGTCCCATAAAGATATAACGCTCCATTGCCTTGTCGAGCCCATGATGAGCATAAAAATAGTCCCCTTAGTACTCAAAGGATAAAGAGTAAAAAAATTATTAAATGTAACTCAATATCCAATGACCCAAACGTCAGTTAACCATATAAAAACTGATTCTTAAATAAATAATAACATTCAGCTGTACCAATCCGGTTTCAACCATTCTTAAAGCCTTAAAAAAATATAAATACAGTATTTCGGTTAATTAATCTTGAGCATTTTATATATTGGAAAAAATATACAATTTTATAGTATTATGCCGAAGTCTAAAATACATTCTTGCCACAAAATTATTCTTAAAATTATATTTACCCATTTGAACTGCAAATAGTAATTCCAGGAGGTTCAATTGCATCTATAGTCTTCTCTTGAATATCGACAACGATGGGATATTGAAAGTAGACAATAAGATACCTCGTCACTTGGTAACAACAACCGGCGCAGAAAATTATGAAAATTAGAATTTTGAAAATATTTCGATACATATTTCTTTTTTTCATGTTTTCCATTTGCTTTGCTTCCACTTTGGAAAGTGATAAGCGACCATCTTTAGTGCTGACAATTATCTTGTCGAATATACTGTCAATTGATTTCATCATAAGCGAGTAGTTAATATATAATAATATAAAAATGTATTATACAAATGTACATTAATTAAAATATTAAACATTATTACTTACTCTTTTTGATGGACAGGACAAACTCGCTTCATTCTGCTAGTATAGTTTATTTAGAATGAACACATCACTACTCAACATTTAATCATTTAAAGCTGTGAAACATAGCTTTACGTCAAACGAAATGTTCGATCTGAAGTTATTAATACATTTCAAAACTTTTAATTATATTTTAAATATAATTATTTATCTCTCACGCAATCTTGTACTTAAATCAGGGACAAATTAATATTGTTCTAGCTCATTAAAAAACGCTTTCATTATTAATACGACAAAAATATTTTATAATAATTTTTGTACTTTTGTTTAATTAAATATATTGTCATTACATTAATGTAACCGGTTGGCCGACACAGTTAAGACTAACACTCTAAAGACCCAGGATAGAATCCATCTTGGTAGTCGAAAAATTTTCGTAATTTTTCGGCATGGTTTATCCAAGATATGTTGATTGGTGCCCATCTTTCTCCACCCAGTCTTTCCATAACTAAAAACACACCTTTACATTAATTAAATCCATTATATTTCTTATGATTAGTGTTTTAACCAGACTGAAAAGATAAAGTTTCAAGCCTTTTTAACATTATATCCAACATGAATGAGGCTAGGTCCACAATGGGGCAACCGGAGAAATATCTCTCCGGCTGCCCCATTGTGGATCTAGTCTGACATCTTAACCGCCTCGGCCATCCAGCCCTCAATGTCATAATGTACAATTTGCAAATGATATCAAATTGTTATCTCTTACAAATCTTATGAAATTACTAACTGAAATTGTGCCAAATATGAAATTATTAATAACAGCACAGATTTAAAATTATAAATATAAATTTTAAATACTGTATAATAAACTATTTTTCTCGGTAACGAAAAAAGAAATGTGATCCTGATTAATGAGAGGATTTAACAAAAACATTATACAAAAACAATATTCTTTGAATTTCTTTTCGATGCGCATTTTTACTCGAGAACGACGACTACTTTGCAAACTCTCCTCTTCTATAGTTTTTTTCAATATTTTGTATGCATTTAAGTTCGTGATTTAATGCTGACCATCCATCAAACCGTGCGCAATATTTTAAAAAGGATTATTCCATTATTTTTTCATGGCATAGTTTTTTTAATTTTTAGTAAAAGGAAAGAGAAAAAGAGAAAGATAAGATGAAAGAAGACTTGCACTAGAGGGGACTTAAGAGAGAAGAAGTCCTTAAGAGGGAAAAATGGAGAAAACCTTTTAGAGAAAGAAACGCCGACCCCGTATAAACATGGGAAAAGGCGCAGATAAAGAAGAAGAAGTTTATTAATTTTTACAACATAAGTATACTTCAGGCCCTCCAGTGGCCAAGCGGTTCCGTTCTTTGAACACTGGAAGTTTGGTTGTTGGTTCGGGCCTCGCCAGGAGTAGAGAGCTTTTCGGGTTTCCTCCACGTCTGTGCCTCCTAAATAGGGCCCAGTTACTCTTAAAAGACTTCCCAAGCTTGGTAAAAGTATTATTCCCAGCTTTCACTGATAAAAATATAAAGTGAAAATTTGAATTCTATATTTTTATCTTTTTACTTATAGAAAATAATTGATAAAATCGGCTTCTGTAATTTTACTAATATCATTGTTATTATCTATCAGGAAATATTTATATCAATGTTTAATTCATAAAGTGGTCAATAATATTCACAGAATATCATCGAATTTAGTCTAGTGTAAAATTTTCGGATTTAGGCACAGTTTCTTCTACAAACATGTATTTTCTAATTTATTTTCATCAATTAGTCCTATAGCAACTTAGAATAATGACACGAGAGAATGGCACCTTTGGAATGTCCAGCTATATTTGAATATTTTATTAAAAGTAAAATCTGTGATTATCAATAAATGCTTAATTATAGAAGTATTGACTCTTACAATTATTTTTCAAGTCGTAAAATAAGTAAAATTTTAATTAATAAATTCTCTCAAAATATTTGTCCTTAAGACAAATGTAGACCATCACAAACCCTATCTTCAGGTATGGACTTGTGTGTCTTGTGTGTAAGAAATTAAAAGCAAAAAACACAAGTAAACAAAACATTATTTTGTTTACTTGTGTTTTTATGTTTATAATATTTAGAAACAAAGATCTTTAAATGTATTTGTAGTAGATAACAGTTCCGAGAAAAAAAACGAATTTTCAAGAGAAGAGGTTTAAAAAAGAAAAACACCTTTTTACTAGTGGATAAATAAAGAAAATATATATGCTTGTGTGATTTTTAATTATTACATTTATGTAAAAATTCCACACTTATTTGGAAGAGGGAAATATTCCGTCACGGTAGTTAAATCCCGCAACACCGTGAACGTGAATACACCGAAAAACAAAGCTCGTAAAACTTCCATGGGACTGAAAAGAAAGAGGACACTTTTTTACAAAGTGCAGTACACATACGCAAACAACAGCATTCTCTTTTCTTCAATCAGCATATTCACACAACGAGCATACATAAGATTTTGTTACCATTTTCTCAAAAATAGATTGAGATTTTATAATGACCCTGTACATGAAAATATTATCTATGAAACTTTTGAAAGTTCAAATCGATATTTAATTAAAATTCTAAATAGAGAAGTTTTAACCACTCAATAAAAGTATTAAATATAAGGAAAATAATCAATATTAATTAAAAATTGCTTCATAATATTCGATCCATAATATTAATTAAAAATTTAATTAGTATTATAGATCGAATATTATGAAGAAATTTTTTTCAGTCTCTCTTTAAAAATATAATTACATTTTTAGTCACAAAAACATAATAACTTGTATAATTTTACAATATTAATCTTTTGTTATTAATATTTTTAATCCTATTATAATTAAAGACAAAATACGAAAGTATATATGTTAACACAGTAATTCCTCTCAATGTCCACTCTTCTCAACTTTCATCGTAACATCACCTCCATCAGTATGTAGAATATTTTATTCTTTAAAATGTTTAATTGCTAACTAGACATACAATACGTACGTGCAAGTACGAATTCTTTACGTTTTTCAATAAGAATACGCAATATACGCATCATTTTTTTTGAAATGCAATAAAATTCTGTTAATCCGGCACCTGATAAGCTGAAATGTCGGTATTCCGTATTTTCTGTAATCTGGCACCATTATGATTCCGTAGGTATTAAATCTAACTTTACTGTAAATTTATTTATTAGTCAGTAAACATTTTGATAATTAAGTAGATGTTTTTTAGTAATTTTATATATTCTGTAGTTTTTAAAAATTACTTTTTCCTTGTAGACATTAAAAATGCCTTTTTTCATACCTATCGTGGGCTTGGCGAAGGGGTGATGAGGAAGATACAGACTGCCCATGAATAACTTTTTAGGTTTATCGATCGCCAGGATTCGATCCTGGGTCTCTCAAGCTATAGGTTTTGAAAGGTCTTAAATCAGTGATTAATAATTTACATATATTTGTTCTGTTAATAAAATTGAGTCTTTACACCGTCTGTCCGGAGAGTTCTGGGACTAATGTTCTAAAAAATCCAAATGTAAACAGAAAGAATTTTAATCTTTAGGATCACTCGCTCGATAAAGTCACTCTCCGTCTCAATGCACCATTGACATCGTTCATACAACCACTGAAAGCGATTTGAAAATTGTTCTATTGTAATCCTCGAATTCTGACGTCACATTGACTTAAATGCATTATAAATCGTCGCATTGTTTACCCTTCATGTGCATCTTGAGCAGGAAAAGAGGAAAAAGTTACTTTTCCCGTAACACGGAGCATCACTCTGAATTATCTTCGAGCGATTGGCTTCCTTCGTGAAAACGTTTCTACCTCTCAAACATCTTTGAACAAGATAAACAATTATCTCCGTAAACAATTTCCGCGATATTCTAAGTTTCATAGCTGTTTGAACAAGCTAACAATTAAATTTAATTACTGCTCTTTGCTCCATCACACCATTTTTTGTACTTTTACAAGCACAGTATAGAAAAAGACTAACAAAAGTTCTGAAATAAATCAGGTCTAAACACAGAAGTTTTAACTAAAAGATTAGATAAATGACACTGTTTATCTTTCAGAACTTTCCGGATGGCATAAGACGTGTAACTTATATAAAATCTCAAGATAAATAAAATTATTTACCTATTTTATTTTAAATATCTTTACTATATCAGTTTTCCTCGATTAAAGATTATATAATAATATTTCAAGGTTTACTCATCATTATCAATATTTATATACAATGTTCTTTATAAAAAAAAAAGTGAGAAATGAATGATCTCTAATAAAAATATTACGAATTTTAGATATTAACATGTTTTTCAATTGGGCAAAATCCTAGAAAAGTATAGATTTCAGAGCTTGCAAATTACGTTTAGATAGCTTACGAAATCTGTTTTATAGAATGCTTAATAATGTATAACACCTAGAATCCTATCTAGTAAAAATAATCTATATAAATAATAAAATTATAATCTACAAAAAGAAAAAATTAGATAAATAAATAATGTATTCTAAGTGCTGAACCAAGACAAAAATCGATAAGCACATATCTGAGGTTCTTAAAAGGGGAGGATAAAAAAAAAACTCGGATTGCCTGTACGTAAAACCAAAATGGCCCAATTATATAATAAAATCGATTTTTTTAAAGTCAGATCGTAAATTTAATTTTTTTAAATTGAAAATTTAATTAAATTATATTTTATTTAGTTCTTTTTCTTTCATTAATTTTTTTGCGATGGCAAAAGAATCGTATTAAAAAATTAATAAAGATTTCTAATCTTGTTGTTAAGGAGATTAATTTGATATATTATCCGAGTTATATAAATAAACGTTAGTGATAATTGCTCATTTTATCTTTGTGTATATTCAAGATGGAAGGAGCTAAGAAATTAGTTAATAAAATAATAAACGAACAACGTTCTCGTTTTAATGCATTAAGTCAAGAAATTTGGAAAAATCCGGAAACTAATTATGAAGAAATTCGTGCTCATGATGTTTTAGTTTCTACGTTACAAGATTTTGGATTTTCTGTTCAGAAGAATTACATTCTACCAACTGCATTTAGAGCAGAGTTTGGTGAAGGTAATGAATTTCATCTGTATTTAAAATAATTATCATTATATAAAACAATACTTTAAAATTAATATACGATATTTTTATTTAATTAATTAAATGAATATCCATATATGTACAGTGGGAAAATTTTGGTAAAGTGAAACTGACGATTGGGCCACCTCAAAATAAGAACCAATAATTTTATTTGCCTTATTGAACCTTTCCTTCTAGGGGCGAGCAGCTGGATGGCCGCGGTTAGTATGGCATCAGCTTATCACTTTGAGGATACGGAATCGGGAGCAACTTTTAGCAATTTTTATGTGTAGCCTGTCTCATATAAGTTGGCCTTGTTTCTCGCCATTCGGCTGCCTCCATTCTGGATCTTGACGAACAACGATGGGTATGGAAAACGTCTCTCACAGGGTGAAGAGTTAAAAATTTTAATGCCCTTAAAACTTTATATAGGCCTATAAATAAGCGTACATAAATTTATATGTGAATTCATAAATCGATTTACGGATCTCTCAGATCCGAACCTCAGACAATTGGCTCGGTTCGCCCCCTCGGTATATTGTTATATATCAATAGTAATTTATATTATTATTTATAATAATAAAAAGTTTTTTAAAACAGCCCACTTTCTCGCTACAGACCTATTATGTCTATCTCCTGACAATATTGTGCACCTGTAATCTTTATTATTTGGTACTAAAATGAAGAGATATAATTAAAAAGCTAGTTATACGTTAAAACAGACTAACAAAGCTAGAATATATTTTGTTAATAGGGAAATTATTAGATCAATTTTACAAATAACAAAAGATGAAGTGTCACCTCCTTGAGAAAATTATAAAACCGCTTTTTTACGATCTGACTTCAATTGCTTGTAGTAAGGCCACTGCAATTAGGAAGAATGTTTCCTACTTGCAATGACCTCAAATGATGTATAAACAGATTCGTAATCGAAATGGTGTCTGGTATATAGTACAACGGTGGGCAACCCCCGGCCCGCGGGCCAGCTACGGCCCGCGAAAAGTTTCTATCCGGCCCGCGAGATGTTTAGAAGAAATTATAAATAAATATTTTTCGATGTAATTCGTCTAGTTTAAATTGAATATTATTTTCTGAAGTGTGCGGCAGCAATGACAGGAAAAAATAAGGGAGTCATTTCCTTATTCAAACAAAAAATGGGAGAACAGAATTTTTCTAAATTATTTATATCTCATCGCATCATCCATCAAGAAAATCTATGTGCAAAAGCTATGCAATTAGAAAATGTAATGTCTGTCGTATCCAACTACATAGTGCTGTTTTTATTGTGTTTAAAGTCACTTAGATTTTACAAATAGGTGAGCCGTTCACAGCCCGGCACACGCATTTGTAAAATCTAAGTGACTCATACAACATGGAATTCATATAAAACGGAATAATCAACAGTGTTATAGGGGGGTCGACTGTAGTAATTAATTTCTTTTTATTTATTTATTTCATATTTGCAGACTAAAAATTTACTGGTCACAAGGTGTCAATTAACTACTATGGCCCGCGGAAAAAACGTAAAATTTATTCTGGCCCATGTTATAAAAAAGGTTGCCCACCCTTGATATAGTACCATTTCGTGGAATCCATGATAGACTCTAAACTTTAGAGTCTAAAGGTACAATGACTGGATATAATGAAGCCTTTACCTTACATTTATTCAAACACATTTTGTAAATAATAAATTCCATTTTAATTTATATTTTTGATGATAAATCGTATTATTTCATTTTAAATATTAAAAATTACGATTTATAAAAAGTCGAACTTAAAATCTTTTATAAATTTTTAATTTATAAATATTATATAAACTTTATAAATTCCAATTATCAGGTTTATATAATTATCAAATTTTATCAAAAAGTAATTGTTCGTAACGATGATATCTGCATTAATACGTACTGCTATCCTTGACTTTTCTTGATTGACACTTTGATACGAATGATAAAATTCTGTACATTTACATTGGTAATCAACATATAATTGAAACAAATATTTTAAAAATATAATAAAAATATCTGGATATCATAGGCTACGTGCTATTTATAAATTCTGTGAAAAAATATCTGGATAAAAAGATAAAACGTTTACATTCATTAGGCCAAGTGCTATAAATTTTGGGGGAAACATGTACTTACAATTAGATACAAAATATTTAGATTGGCAACAGTGACTGTAACAGAGGAAATATTTTAGTTGCCAAATCGCCATTTTAACCGAGGCTGTACTATTTTTACTTCTTGTATATTTGGCACTTTTAAAATTTTACCAAATAACCGGGACAAATTGCCAAACTGGCCGGGTTGCAGAGACCACATCAACAAACAGAGACAGTTTCAGTCAAAGCGGAACATCTGGAAAGCCTATCTCTGGAGGACTCGGGAGTGATCCAGAGGAGCAAATCTCCAAAAACTTTTACATGGTAATACCAGATATATTGGTCCTAACGGTTATCTATACCCATTGTATGTCTGACTGAACCGTGAAGGATTTGGAAAAAGTCCCTCTTATTACCCATAGAGCAAAAGAAACAAAATTTAGAAAAACATATTCAGTGTTTCATTGCATTTTATTAACTTCAATATTATAGAAAGTTCTACTTTTTTTCATTTAAACACACGATAACCTAAAGTTTCTCCATCCGGATCACGGGAGATTTTTAACCCTGGAAACTCATCTCATTTCGGGAAATCCCTCAAATTTCTTAAAAAATCACTTTTTTTTCTTATTTTTTGTTAAAGTTGAAGAAATTTTGCAAATTGAAAGTATTATTAAATCATAAACTGACAGAATACATTTGTATTTATTAATTTTAAGCCTACTTATTAGTTTATTTAAATTTTTGCTTATTATGACATCCCACAAATTGTCAATAATCAATATGTAACCTATTTGTGACCGGACTCTCAAAATTCTTTACCTGTAATATCTGGAATAATTGTGCTTATGCTGTCTTAATTTTTAACCATGCCCAGTAGCTTTAATAACTACTGTATTACACCAATTTGGGCAAGGATAGAAACGAGTACGAAGTCTGCAAGTATGAAGTTTTTCTTCATAAATCAGATTATTAAAGCCAAACGAACTGTCGAATTATCGGGCTGTAAGCTTGATGCCGCTATTAAAGCAGCCGAGGTAGACAAATCAAGAATACTAGACGCAGGGGCGGATATGGGTTTTTCGGGACCTAGGGCTTATTGAAGTCCATTGACGCCCCATTTTTTGTTAGATTAAGAATCTTTAAATTGGAGTTTAAAATTTATTTCTAATAACATAAAAATCAGAGTTAAAATATATTTATTTATGAAATTGTGTTGAATGACAAACTTTATATCGATAAGTGCCCATTGTTAATGAATAAGTATTAATAATTTATGATAGTAATTCAATTTTTCTGAGCCCTTGACACTTGAGCCCAGGAATTAAGCCCTATTAGTCCCTATGTAGATCTGCTCTTGATTAGACGGCAAAAGAAGTACTGTAACACATCGCGAAAACGAACTAGCAATCTTCCAGGCTTCAGATGAAAAAATAATAATATCCGTCTTCTCTTAAATGCATTAAAGACGATTCTAGCCACATGAATTAAATGGAAAAAGGCATTCTCGGTAGCAGGACTTTTCCTTAGTAAAATAAGAATCAAATTGAGCAATCGGAGTAATCAACTCAATTTAAAGGCATTTTTGTTATAAGCAATTTCCAACAAACTTTAATAATTTTTTTCTATTTGTGAAAATTTCTATGTAATTCAAAGTTACTAATACATATTTTACAAAGCATTATTAATATTATTATTTTGAGGTTGCAGGATGTATTAAGTTACTTAAAAGTGAAAAATAATTATTTCATTCAATTTTAAGATTTATTTTATATCTTAAAAATAATATATTCCGGAATTTCCCCGGATCAAGCAAAAGACTGGAAAATGAGAAACCCTACTAAAAACTTGTTGGCAGTGGGCATTATCCTACGGCCAAACAGAACAATTGCCTAGAGCCCCTACCAACAAGATGCCCCAAAGCAATCTTTTATAAGCTAATATTTCTCAAAAATTTTCCCGAAGAAAAATGCCGGAAGTCAATACTGTACATGGAGTCACCTAATTCAAATTTGCCTGGGGTCCAATGAAGCTATAACGGGCCACCGGTCATTGGTAATGTTAACATAATATTTCTGTAGGCCTATTATTTTAACTTTTTATATATTATAAATTTTAATGATAATCCGAAAATCAGTTAATTGATAATTACCTTTAAGAATATTTTAAGAACAGTTAAACCAGTTTAAAACATTTTATATTACTAATCGTGATTTAATCGCTTCTGAAATCTTTATATATTTTATCAGAAAATATTTATATACAAATCACATAATTTCATAGGAAACTATCCTAAAATTGCTGTACTATGCGAGTATGATGCTCTACCAGAAATTGGTCACGCATGTGGACATAACTTGATAGCAGAAGCCGGTGTAGCCGCTGCTGTTGCAATTAAGTATGTTATGGAAAATCATAAAAGTATCCAAGGTAAAGTAAGTATTATTTAAACTTAAAATAACCCTTCCGAAGATATTCGTATCTATAAAAAGAAAAATTAGAGCCCGCAAGAAAATTTTTCTCGAGTAAAGGAATAAAGTAGTTTAAGAAATGTATATGTGTATAGTAATAGTTTACACTACCTATTATACTGTATTTGTAATAAATTGTTGATGCTGGCGATAAAGTTGCACATAGCAAAGGTGAAGAGGGATCTGGGTTAGAATCTATCCTGCATCCATGCTTACCGATCTCATTTTAAATTAAGTTCATTGGTAATATGCAAAATTGAATTTCGTATAAAATGTAACTTCGTAAACTAATTCAATCCTGAAAGTTTAATATAGAAGAAAATAAAGACTAATGTTGGTAGAAAATCTAATGATAATTTTATTTACCTGATTGGCGGCATCGTTATAGCATAAGGTTGAGTCCTTTTGCCACACAAACATATTCACACCACAACCAAGTTCACAACACATATTCAATAAGAACAATGCCCTTTTTTACATGAAGATTCCTGAGGATCCTATCCAAATGTGGATCTTTCAGAATAGCAACTATATATTTAAATATTCCGGTCATTCGGTCTTATAGCTGAGGATCCAAATAAAATTAAACTAGCCCATTATTACGAGTCGATTTAATGCGTGTCGAAATCCGAAAAACGAATAATATGAAATCCATGATAAATTTTGGAGTTTAAAACGAAATCAAACTCAGATTTCCAGGTAAATAGATTGACGCTTCACAGAAATATTTCAATCACTAATTATTTATATAATGCATTGACATCAATTTTTTAATTTAAATATATTTTATAATAATAATTTATTTTAGATTGTAGTTCTTGGCACTCCTGCCGAAGAAGGTGGAGGGGGAAAGATAAAACTACTTGAAGCAGGAGCCTTTAAAGATATTGATATTGTCTTAATGGTACATCCCAGTCCAACAGATCATCTGTATCCACCTTTTATATCTTTCATAAAGGTAATGAAGTTAAAATACAGATATTTGACATTTCTCTTTACATAAAACTACATTTTTGTTTATTTTGAGCTATTGGCAATAATTTGGCTTGTATCTTTGAAAATGCTGATTAGAGCAGATTGAAACTTAACATAAAAACAGAACGTTGTATGTATAACAAGTTATAACCAAAAATGTTGTTATACATACAACGTTCTGTTTTTAGAAAAAGCACTAAGCATTGTCGTAAATCATTTCTACCTCCTACACTCACACATGCTTCATAGGAATTCATGATGGCTATAACGTTATTAATCTGCTCTAGCGGGGACAAAGTCCATTCTTAAACAAAAGCGTCATGAACCTGCTGAAGTGTTCTTGGTGGTATTGGCATCTTTGTGCTCTCTGAGCGGTAAGGGGCCTAAAACCACATAAAAAAGTGTTCTTGGTGAACGTAATTCGTCTTCCTAGAGAATTCCACACAAGTTCTATAGTTTTAAGGTCCGGAGATATAGCCGATCATTTCAACACATGCAACGAATATCTTCACTGTAAAGAAAGTCATTGGTAAGTGCAACCCTATGCGCTCGAGCATTGTCGTCCATGAAAATAAAATCTGCACCCATAGCAACTCAGAAAAGTCTCGCATGTCTACATAAAGCTTTCTATACCTTTTTGCAATAATGACATTATGAAATGCCATTTCATACCATACAAAACACTACCACCTCTGAATTGAACACCTTTCAGTATGTTTATAAGACTAATCGAGTTTCCCATTTTCTACAGTCAATCCGATGAGAATGATTCTACAGACTGTACTTGAATCGTCAGTGAACAGAACATTGTCTATTTCTTCAATGTCCATGTCTTTGACATAATCTAAAATAAGCTCTTTTGTTTACAGGGATCAATAAAAAACAAAGTGCCTTTCGCAGAAAGACAATTTGCCTGAAGCCTGATTGTACACAGTTTTTCGGGAAACGTTAATATCAGCGACTGTAAACAGCTTTGCAGAGAGTCGTTTATCATTGTTCTGTTATGATACGCTGATAACATAAATAGCAGTGTTGTTGAGAGATGGTAACTCTTAAACTTACCTTTTCTGGTTCATATTCAACATCTGTTCTTTGAAATCTGGTTCAAAGCCTATGTCTGATGTTTGCGGCAGATTCAGAGTGCCGACACGTATCTGCCGCAAAGGGCTTCGCCTTCCAATAATTCATTCATGAAATTGTCTATGTGACATCATTATTACTATCGTACAGTAAAACAGTAACGATATGTCCTCAATGGTTAAACCTCAAAATAGACAATATCCTGCTATTGTTGGATTTTCAGAGCCTGACTAATTTGCATATTTGTGCTCTTTAATGGAACATTCGGCTACATCCTGGGCATTTTTATTGTCTGGAAACGTTCACATAAATTTTCTGCTATCTCTTTTGTTTATTCTTTTTTTTCCCCCTCTATGGACGATTAGACGATTATATTTTAGAGGGACTTGAGTGTATTTATTTATACAACTTTTACAAAAAAAATTATGTATTCTTTTTTAGTGTTTATAAAATACTCTGTAGATGAGTAATTAATTTTATTCTACAAAATTATAATTAATAAGTAGCCTATATCAATTTCTCATAAAGCCCTTGATACACACACATACACATACATACACAAAACATGCATATGTATAAAATTAATATGTATATGAAAGATTATTCACATAAATTGTATATAATGTGTATATCATCCAAATGTAATACTGCTGTACAGTGTGTATATTGATGATGTCCGTTGCCCTTATATATATATATATATATGTGTTTAAGTGGACACCCCTAATATATATATATATTTATTTTAAAAGATTAAAATTTTCTGAAAAATATAGTTATTATACACTGTGTTCTGTATAATCGTGTTCACCAGAAAATTTGTATTTTGATTATTATTATTATACTGAATTGTTAAGAAAGTATTGTAATTATTCTGAAGGCGTAATTCTATTTTAATAATTATTATTTCGTAGAATTAATACAATAATGACAAATTTTTCATAGCTAAAAGTGAATTATTTTGGAAAAGCTGCGCATGCAAGTGGATATCCATGGGAAGGATTAAACGCTTTGGATGCAGCTGTTACATGTTACAACAATATTGCTTTACTTCGAAAACAATCGAAACCAAATTGCATAATACATGGTAAATTCAATTTTATTTTTTTATATCATTTCGTTATTTATAATAATTTTATCTGCGTATGTTACGTAGGAATTATTAGTAACGGCGGCGGAAGCCCTAGTATCATCCCAGATGAGACGGAATTAAGATATGCTATTGGTGCAAATAATTCCCGCGAATTGGAAAATTTGAAAAAGAGAGTTGAAGACTGCTGTTTAGCTGCAGCACAAGCTACAGGCTGTGAAGTGAAACTGAGTTACGATACCGAAGTACGATACGAACATCTCATCACCAATGAACTTTTGGCAAATACTTACAAGAACTACGCTGAAGAAACAGGTAATATTTTAATCAGAAATATACATTTTCCGATAACTGTAACTCCTATTTGATAATTTTTACAGGAGTTAAATTCAAAGATGGAAATCCCAACTATGACCCTTTCGTAGCAGCTNAACATATTTTTGCCTGTACGTAAAACCAAAATGGCCCAATTATATAATAAAATCGATTTTTTTAAAGTCAGATCGTAAATTTAATTTTTTTAAATTGAAAATTTAATTAAATTATATTTTATTTAGTTCTTTTTCTTTCATTAATTTTTTTGCGATGGCAAAAGAATCGTATTAAAAAATTAATAAAGATTTCTAATCTTGTTGTTAAGGAGATTAATTTGATATATTATCCGAGTTATATAAATAAACGTTAGTGATAATTGCTCATTTTATCTTTGTGTATATTCAAGATGGAAGGAGCTAAGAAATTAGTTAATAAAATAATAAACGAACAACGTTCTCGTTTTAATGCATTAAGTCAAGAAATTTGGAAAAATCCGGAAACTAATTATGAAGAAATTCGTGCTCATGATGTTTTAGTTTCTACGTTACAAGATTTTGGATTTTCTGTTCAGAAGAATTACATTCTACCAACTGCATTTAGAGCAGAGTTTGGTGAAGGTAATGAATTTCATCTGTATTTAAAATAATTATCATTATATAAAACAATACTTTAAAATTAATATACGATATTTTTATTTAATTAATTAAATGAATATCCATATATGTACAGTGGGAAAATTTCGGTAAAGTGAAACTGACGATTGGGCCACCTCAAAATAAGAACCAATAATTTTATTTGCCTTATTGAACCTTTCCTTCTAGGGGCGAGCAGCTGGATGGCCGCGGTTAGTATGGCATCAGCTTATCACTTTGAGGATACGGAATCGGGAGCAACTTTTAGCAATTTTTATGTGTAGCCTGTCTCATATAAGTTGGCCTTGTTTCTCGCCATTCGGCTGCCTCCATTCTGGATCTTGACGAACAACGATGGGTATGGAAAACGTCTCTCACAGGGTGAAGAGTTAAAAATTTTAATGCCCTTAAAACTTTATATAGGCCTATAAATAAGCGTACATAAATTTATATGTGAATTCATAAATCGATTTACGGATCTCTCAGATCCGAACCTCAGACAATTGGCTCGGTTCGCCCCCTCGGTATATTGTTATATATCAATAGTAATTTATATTATTATTTATAATAATAAAAAGTTTTTTAAAACAGCCCACTTTCTCGCTACAGACCTATTATGTCTATCTCCTGACAATATTGTGCACCTGTAATCTTTATTATTTGGTACTAAAATGAAGAGATATAATTAAAAAGCTAGTTATACGTTAAAACAGACTAACAAAGCTAGAATATATTTTGTTAATAGGGAAATTATTAGATCAATTTTACAAATAACAAAAGATGAAGTGTCACCTCCTTGAGAAAATTATAAAACCGCTTTTTTACGATCTGACTTCAATTGCTTGTAGTAAGGCCACTGCAATTAGGAAGAATGTTTCCTACTTGCAATGACCTCAAATGATGTATAAACAGATTCGTAATCGAAATGGTGTCTGGTATATAGTACAACGGTGGGCAACCCCCGGCCCGCGGGCCAGCTACGGCCCGCGAAAAGTTTCTATCCGGCCCGCGAGATGTTTAGAAGAAATTATAAATAAATATTTTTCGATGTAATTCGTCTAGTTTAAATTGAATATTATTTTCTGAAGTGTGCGGCAGCAATGACAGGAAAAAATAAGGGAGTCATTTCCTTATTCAAACAAAAAATGGGAGAACAGAATTTTTCTAAATTATTTATATCTCATCGCACCATCCATCAAGAAAATCTATGTGCAAAAGCTATGCAATTAGAAAATGTAATGTCTGTCGTATCCAACTACATAGTGCTGTCTTTATTGTGTTTAAAGTAGTGTTGTAACGAATAGTATATTCGGCCTCAGGCCGAATACCGAATATTCGGCCAAACTATTCGGCTTGATTAACGCACGTACGAAAATTGGCGCGCAAACCGCATTATGGCAAGGATCCTGCTCTCTATTGGCCTGCTGTCACTACGCTTCGCCAATCACGTTAATTGTTGGCAGTTGTAGCAGACAGACAACAGTGTCATGGAAGTATGTGAGAAATGATGATATCAAATGTGGATAACAATGAAATGACCTATACGTGTAAATAACGGAAAAAGAACAGAGGAAGACCACGAAGTGAAAATGTGAAAATAAATATGAAATTGAGTTGATAACATAATCGAACAAGTCGAGGCAACTTATTGGCACGAAATTCGCGGCCGTCAATGCCAAACAATTGTTGTCATAGACTTCGGAAAGCTAAATGCTTGTAATGAAAGTCACTTAGCGTGCACGGGCGAAAGCCTGGGGTCGTTCGGGCTATCAAGCTGTCTCGAATCTGTAAAATCATAACTGTGACTTATATCGACGTCCTATCTGTCTCTTTTCTCCGTTATCACCAGGCTGAGTCACGTAATTGTAAAAGGGGAACTCTACGACGGAAAAGTGACGAATTGAAAGTATCGTGAGTGCGTATAATGATGTATGCATAGGCATACATGGATTAGAGCGATAGAGGAAAGAGAAAGGGAAGAACAAAGACGAGCGCTTAAAAAGAAGGATAGGCAGGGTCAGACCCTCAGATGTGCGAGGATTCTCCAACGGTAGACGTGTACGTGTGCTGATTTTGTAATTATAAATTGTGAATACATGTGATTAATATTATTTTCTTTTTTATTTCGTGCATGTTACAAATTATAAATAAATATAAACAAACAACACTAACTCGATAACATTAAATCTAAATACCAAAATGATTAATTTACTGTGTTTTTGTTATTTATTACTCCTGTTTTTAGGTATTCGGTATTCGGCCGAATAGT